TATATATTGGATTCTGGTTAAATGTACATTAATGGTAGCACTCAAAATTAGTTGTTCAGTAATGGCATTTTAAAGGTTAGAAAGGTTAGAAACTCCTTTGTTTTTACAAAGGTTAGAAAGGTTAGAAACTCCTTTGTTTTTACAAAAATATACTTGGTCAAGTTAATGTATTTTAGCATGACTATACACACCTACACGTTTTGGGAAGATTGATTTTCATACACTGGATTCATGGTACAGTAGGCCTACATTCATAAATTTGACTTGCCAACAAAAGGTGAGCTTGTGGCACCGCGGCTTGGGCTGACGCTTAATATCAAGTGCTGAAAGTTAACGTGCATATAGCCAGAATTGATAAATTTATGTGACCGATAATGCATAGACTTACATTACCAAAGATAAATTATTATTTTTTGTTGTCTTGTCATTAGCTAGAGAGTGAGGTATTGTCATTGAAAAAACGACTGGAAGAACTTAGGAAAGCAAAGAACACAACAGTTCTGAAGAAAGAGAAAGAATACATTTCAACAGCAAATCCTAAACAACGGTAAGTTATGTTATTGATAGAAATTAGCGAGCTGCTTGCACTAATAAAGTCCATTTTAATGCTGTCACACTTTTGGCCTTGCTAGGCTCGGTCAATTATTTTGATATTTTTTGGGTAGTGGTCTTTCAGAATAGGTCATGTAGATTAGCTCATATTTATGCAGTTTACCTTTTTATTATTAGTGCATTATGAATTTATTTATCAACACTCCTTTATTTAATAGTTAAATTGGATTATTTCTTTCTAGATCAAATGGAAGTTCTAACTCGAGGTTAGAGCAGAGGTTGGAACAGTTAAGAATTGAGCATGAGAAGGAAATAAGAGAGTTACAAGACAAGAAACCAGCTGAGGTACCAAAGCCTGATCTACATGAACATCATTTTTTTTTTAATGTGGTTTCATAAAAAAATGTGCTGCTGCATAAACAGTTCAATAAAAATCCAACTATAATAGATAATTATTTTTGCATACCCACCATCTGAAATAGACACAGGTAATAATATCTAACATTAGCATGAACAAATGGCTTTTTTTGCCATAAGGATGCAACACTCTGAATGAATGAGGTATAAAATTAATCAACTATACATGTTTAGTGGCCGAGGAGTAAGGCAGGCGCGCTGCTAACTACATCCTTAATATTGGCGCTGGTTCAAGCTGCTCCTCGCTTAGGGCTCGGTTGGTAGAACCAAGTCTTCTCGGATAAACACTTAAAATGGAGGTCCAGTGTAGACATCTGGCTTGTGTGCAATTTAAATAACCCATTGCATCTTCGGAAAAAGTAGGGAGTTACCCCGAAGCTGTGGTTCATTTTAGCTCCTGTCATGGAATGATGTGAACCTGTAGATACATTAAGCACCTCTTTGTGACATTGACGGACCATGCCATACGCAAATCCGCTCAGTGTTGCTGCAAGTTACGGGTTATTCTCTCCTACCTTTACCTTTACTTTTTAATCTTAAGTTATACTTTATGATGTATTAAGGAATTATTCACTTAAATTATCTTGATTTTTTATTGGCACAGGTCAAATGCAATCATTTACCAGAAATTTCAAAATTACAAAAGGAAAAGAAAATCCTAGAAACTGAAAATGAAGATATGAAGCGCATAAATCGGGATCTAAAAGAAGAAAATAATTCATTATTAAAGAAGTTTGAAGAATTATTCACAGAATTGAGCATAAAAGAAGCACAGTGGTGTGAGAAAGAAGAGGAGCTTAACTTAAAGGTTTGATTTTATATTATTTATGTGGCTGGAGGTTTTATTGTGCATCAAGATCTTGACAAGATAGTGTTCTCCACGATTTCTGAATGCATATCCTGTAACAACACAGTGTAGGCCGCCCTCTTAAAATTACAATTACTTTTTAACTTTGACATCTATGATCTTTGTGCAAAGTCTGTAACAACCACAATATAACAACTAGAACAACCTTTCTCAATTTATTTATTTATTTATTCAACTGAACATACACTTTTGTTTCAGTGGCACACAACATTTCGGTGCGTTCAATGAGAAAGAAAAAAACAACTAAACTAAAAGAGACTAAAAGTTATACAAAACAATTATACAATAACTGTATTCATTACTGTATTGGTGTTGAAACAAAATCCACTAAATAAAAAACAACATTACAGTAGTAA